GGCCTGTGTATGTAGGAGGCTCTTGGTAAAACATTGCTAAATCAGGTTGGCCTCATCAGTGGTGTATATGGTTGTGTCTCCTTTTAAATAAAAACGTTTGTTTGAAACAATTAGTTTTGCAATCAGATCAGAATATTTATGTAGTTTGATGTTTCTCTAGAGCAGAGCTTCTCAACCTTGGCTGCACGTTAGAATCACCTGGGAATCTTTTTAAAATCCTCATTTCTGGGCCTTATCCTCCGGAAATTCTGTTTCTTTGTTACTAATGTTGTGGCCCCACCCCATAACAAAGAAACAGAATTTCCGGAGGATGAGGCCCAAAAATCAGAATTTTAAAAAGATTCCCAGGTGATTCTAACGTGCAGCCAAGGTTGAGAACCACTGCTCTAGAGATCATTATTGAATGTTTTACATTAAATTTTAATAATTTTTATTATGAAAAATAGTCACAAACTTAACAGAAAAGTCGAAAGTCCAGTACAAAGAACATTCCTCCCCTCCCCCAGCCATTTAAGAGTAAGTTGTGAAACTCAAGTCTTTGAATGCTTTAGTGCATATTTCCTACAAGTTAGGACGTTTTTGTACATTGCCGCAATACAGCCATCCAAGTCAGGAGTTTAACACTGATACATGACTGATGTCTAATCCTCAGACCTCATTCAAGTCTCACCAGCTGTTTCAAGAATGACCTACAGGACCCGTTCAGAATTACATGTTGCATTTAGTTGTCTTGTCTCTTCCGTCTGGGCACTGCTGTATTTCTTTGATTTCGTTACTTTAACACTTGAGGATGTCAGGCAAGTTATTCTGTAGCATGTTCCTCAATTTGGTTTAATCAGATGTTTCTTCATAATTAGATTCAGGTCATGTGTCTTTGGCAGGAGCATTAACAGAAGTGATTCTTTACTGCATCCCATTAAGGGGGCATAATTTCATTTTGTTTTGTCATTGATGTCTGCCACGCTTCTCCTCTGTAGAGTTATTCTTTTCCACTTTGTAATTAAGAAGTTTTGTGTGGTAAAATAGTTTTGTAAATATTATGTAAATATCCTCCTGTTCCCTCATCAGACTTCCAATTTACTTATTCATATACTAGAGGCCTGATGCACGAAATTCGTGCAAGGGCCTTGGTCCCCGCTGCCACCACCGCAGTGGCCACCTCTGCCTTGGCCCCCGCCTGCCGGGGCTTTGTCCAGAGGGAAGGCTGTCCGGTCTAATTAGCATATTATGCTTTTATTATTATAGATTTGTATGAGTGGATTCATGGTTTCTTATTAGGTGGGTTATAATCATTATTTATTTTGATGCACAAATTATCCCAGGTTTGACCAGTGGGAGCCCTTTCAACCTGATTTCTGTCTTTAAAAAAAAAAAAATGTTCCCATCATTCTTTGAGCAGTTTTTAGCTTTCTGTCATAGTAAAATGTTTCAGGCTCCTCTTGTACTTTCTTTGCCCGGGTTCTGGAATCAGCCTTTTCTCTCAGGAGTCTTGGTTCCTTTTAGTAGAGAAGGGCATTTAGAGGCCAAGATCTGAGCGCTAGGTATGCTATTAGGGTGTTGCTGCTTCCAGACCCTCTCAGTGGATCAAGCTAGGAAATATATACGCATACATACATACATACATGCACACACATATACATAACACATTTGCTTCCATATTTATTTGTGTATCAGTCTGTTGAAAACTATGAGTTCACAATAGAACCTTCAATTCTATCCAGCACACAGAGTTCATTTTAGTTCCCTCCCTTCCCATATTTATAACTTTCTTCTCTGACAGTAAGAAACCTGGCTTGCATTCACCTTAGTGTGTGCCTTTATTTGAGTAACCACTCCTATATGTAACCAGTCTATTTCCACCATCCCCTTCTTTCTCAAGCTTTACTCTCTTCATTCACCCAACTTGGGCTCTGAAAGACCCCTCTGAGAATATTTTGCACACACTGTGAAGTCTAGCTCCTACTTTAATTGTCTCTGCTCTAAATATTGAGATCTAGTGTGTCCACAAGGACTTTAGATGTAATTGTGTAGAATTGCATAAAGTGGTTTTTTTTCTCGTAGGCTATTTTAGTAAAACAAATCAGAAAGAATAAGGATCACTGTGACTTTAAAAGTTATTTCTTATTTTTTACTTTATTATAAAGTCTAATACAAACTAGTATATACAATGCATATGTGCATTTTAGAGAGATCAATGTTATTTTCAAACAACATTGAGAAGAGATCACCCTTGTACCCACTGCTCAGCTTCAGAAATACAGCATTACCAGTACCTTTGAAGCCCGCGGGACTCTGATTCCATTCCGCTCCCTTTTTCTGAGATACAGTCTCACTCCGGGATTTTCTGTCCATTCTTTCATAATAGTTTTATATTAACCTTTCTTTTATAGATTGCTGTTGTAGCTGTGATGTGCAAACCCCACAGATGTCCACACATTAGTTTTACAGGAAATATTTGTGTGTAAGTATGATGATTTTGATAAGTTGTGTGTGTATAAATTTTAATTCAATTAATACGTCCCCTAGAGCCTTAACCAGTGCATGCTGGTAATATTTAAAACTTTGATTTAATAGATTCATAAGTTAGTTCTTTGAAACAGCAACCATTGATAGGATATTTTGTTTTAAAAGTGAAACAAAGATTTTAATTTGTTACAATATGCAATAAAAAATACATAGGCTATAGAACTCAGAACAGTATAAATTCTGTTAATTTCAGTGAACAGTTCTGTTAGTGCAATAAATGAAACATGGAAATTCCAAATGTCAGAAATTTTAAATGAATTTGGGTCAGAAAAGTATAAAAATAAAGTTATTTTTATAAACTTTAAACTTTTAAAATCTAGATAATTGGAAAAATTAGCGGAAGAATATGCATGATTCCAAGTAGAAAGATTAAATAGGTGAGTGATATTCTTAAGTGTAGTTACTAAGAGAGCACTCTGAATATCAACCCAAAGTTAGGAAAACTTAGGTCCTGTTATTTGCCCCTAAAATCTTAAATCTTTGAAATAATAGTGATGGCAGAATTCTGAAAATGATTGTAATATTGTTCCCTTATATGCTCAACTCGTTTACTTGTTAGTAGAAAATATTATTTATAGACACTGCAAAGGTAGACCTTTCTCTTAGGATTTGAAAGTGAAATTTGTTACCTGGATTTTATGGAGACAGCAATATTTGAACTCGACTGTTGAACTAAGTTTTGTATCTGACATCTTCATTCTTCTGTTTTATTGGCAGATACTGCCCTGGGGGACCTGATTCAGATTTTGAGTATTCAACCCAGTCTTACACTGGATATGAGGTAAAGTACTGTGAGACTGTCCTGAGGAAATGTTACATCATACTTTGCCTGTGTGTGCTTTTACAAGTACTAGCTGTCTTAAAATTTTTATTTTTTCCCTGATTACAAAGGTAATTTTTTCCTGACTACATATATTTTTCTAGTCATTGGAGGAATACTTATGGAAGCATTTATTTTTAATATATGTCAGACAAGCATTTTATGACTTTAAATCTTACCAGCAGCATTTTGAAGGTAGATGCTACTATTATCCTGGTTTTATAGATAAGGAAACACAAGCCTTTTAAACAACTGGCTCAAAGACTCACTGCGAGTCAGTGACAGAGCCAGGCTTTGAATTCTGTTTCTCTCACCACTACATTGTACTACCTGTGTGTGCAGCAGTGGAATAACTGACAAGGTCCCTTGTCTTGTGGAATTTACATTCTAATAGTGGGAGATAGACAATAAAGAAACAAACAAGAAAAAAATGTCAGGTACTAGTAAATGCTACACAGAGAAGTGAAATTGTAAGTTATCACTGGGTGGTAATTTAGCTGTGATGTTAGGAAGGGATTCTCTGAGCAGGTGATGTTTTAACTGAGTCCTGATGACAGGAAGGGGCCTTTCCAGAATTTCAGCAACAAGCATTTCCAGCAGAGAATAGCTAGAACAAGGAGCCGTGTTAGGAATGACGGTGGGATGTTCTGGAGCATAGAGGGTAAGAGGAGGAATGAGTTTGGAGAGACATATCATAGTGACTTGTGAGCCAGGGCAAGGAGTTTGGATTTTATTATAGGTGACATGATAAGTCATTAAGATTTAAAGGAATCGCCCTAGTTGGCGTGGCTAAGTGGTTAGAGCATTTGGCCTGTATACCGAAGTTCTCGGGTTCTAGTTCATTTCCCGGTCAAGGGCACGTACCTGAGTTGTAGGTTCAATTCTGGCCCAGTCCAGGGTGAAACACATTGATATTTCTCTCTGTCTCTCTCTCTCTCTCCCCTCTCTCTCTCTCTCTCTCTTTCTCTCTTTCTCCCCCCCTCCCCCTACCCCCCTTTCTTCCTCTCAAAGAATCAGTGGAAAAAAATATCCTCCAATGAGGATTAACAATAATAAAAAAGATTTAAAGGAATGATATAATCCAATATAGTTTTTTAAAAGATCATTTGAAGGTAACAAAGGATTAGAGTGGGGGCAAGAGTGAAAGAGGAGACCAGTGAGCAGGCTTTTGAAGCAGTCAGCCTCTTCAGAGAGGTCAGTAACCAGCTAACTATGTGCCTTTCTTCATATATACATATACATATACATATACATATGCATATGCATATGCATATGCATATTAGAGGAAATATTTTAATATTGCTATTTTTTACCTGTCTTTCATAGTTCAGATTTTTGAAAATACAAAAGGAATTATTCAATGGAAAGGTTTCTTGTCCCTCTTGTCCCCTATTTGTTTGTTTCTGCTCCAGCCCCCTCCACTCCCAGCAGACAATCAGTATTAGCTTTCCTGTATATCCTTTAAAGATATTATATAGATATATAAGCACATAGTTATTCTTTATCCTATTTTTTTACATATAAGCTACTGTATCAAAACCGTGCACCTTGCCTTTTTCATTTGGCAATATATTTTAGAAAACATATTAGTACATTGTTTCTTGGTTGTAGAATATTCCATTATATAAAAACATAAAGGCTTTTTTGTTAAGCCATTATTTAAAGGTTATTTTACCAAATAATTCTTTTGAATATGTATGCACATCTATGTCTGTGAGTAGTATAACAATTTGTGTTGTTTCCATAAGTGCTGATACAAAGATAACTATGATCTAAGAAGACGCCCTGCTGTTCAGATACTCATGACAGTGGCGGGGAGACTAGCCAGCTGCTACAGGACGTTATTTTGAAGACTGAGAAAGGAAGAAAGGAGCACAGGAGAATTTTATTTTTAATACACCCTTTGAAACCACTTTTTATTTTTACTTTAGTGTGGGCATAACAGAATCTTTTTCTCTTTTTTTTTCCTCAGCCAACCTCCATGCGAGCTATTCGTGCTAGATACGACCCTTATCTACAGACAAGACACCGCATAGAGCAGGTAAGTTTCTAAAAAGCAGTTTTAAATTAGATTTTTATACTTAGAGGTATTATTTCTTGATTTGAGTTGTACCTGAAATAAGCCCTAAAAGAGTATTTTTCCCCATTGTAAGTTTTTGCTATCCATCTGAGGGAGGGAGACTATTTTGCAATACCTAGAAAGATCAGAACTATCACTTCCTTTACAGACTATTGTTTTCTTTGAACGTTTTGTATTCTATAGATTTCAATTTGTAGGAAGTCATTTATGGTATGAAATTTACAGGATGTAGATGTGTGGAAACACTTAGGCAGTAGGTGGATGGATTGAAGTTTAGCTTTCCTAGGCCACATGAGTTTTGTGCTGTTTGGAGGAGCAAAGATGTGAGGAACACTCAGGGGCTGTGGAATCATTCTGTATCATGATTGTCATGGTGGTTATACAACTCCAAATATTTATCCAAACTCATCCAATTTATCCTTAAAATTAATTGTATGTAAATTATACCTCAGACAGCTGATTGTATGCAAATTATACCTCAGTATAGCTGATTGAAAACAAGAACTTTGTAAATGGCTATGCTCTGTTCAAGAAATCTGAACATTAATACAGTTTTATTTTTACAGATTTTACAATTTTAAACTTGTCCAATTAAAAAATATGTGAACTCTGTGTGTAGTAGTCATAGTAACATCTAGTAGGGCAACCACAAAATCTCAACTGTAATATGTACCATAGTAAGTCACTCTGTGTTTATCTAACGGTCACTATTAGTGAAGACCATCCGGTTCTGATTTTCACTTCACTGTCACCCAAGCATGTGTGGATCGGGATGGTCAGCTATAGGAGAGGACCCCACTGGGGGCAGGGAGCCTACATAGTTTGGAAAAGCATGTTCTAAACTGACCATTGCTTGGATTTCCTTTTTTAGCCATGATATTTATATTTAATTTATTTAAAATGTTTTAATACTGTGTAAAATGTTTTTGTTTACCAAAAAAGAGCATGGATTTTAAAAGATTTAGAAACTACCATAGAGCAGTGATTATTTTTTTAACTATAATTTACTAGAATCATCACAGCTTTTCTAAAACATGAGCCAGATCTTTACCTCTGGATGTTCTCCTTACGCCTGGTTTGGGGTCCTGCCAAGATACTCTGAAAAAGATACCAGGATGATTTTGTTGTGTATCCCTTGCAAACCATAGACATACAGAATATTCTTTTAGTCTTGATTTATATACACATATATAAACATATTTTTTTTAAAATATATATGCATATGATATATTTATACATAAGGATATGTAAATATGTATACATACATAAAGATGTATATATGTATAAATTACTTGCCATTTTAAGAAACAAATATTAAGCATACACATCCTTTACATAGTACATTCATTTGAGTTCATAACTTGGTAGCAACTTTTTTTCAAGCCTAAGATAATGGCAAGAAATTTAAATACCTGTTTTTGAAAAGTAGAATCTTGGCTTATTGTGGTTGATAAAATCAAAGATATGTACCATTTGCATATCTGATAGTAGAGGCATTATATTTCATATTTTATCAATCAGATTTTTATTTTCCTCCCGGAAAGCAGGCTTGACGTTCCACCTATGTCCAGAATCCTCACAATTGATTTAAAACTTTAAAGTTTTAATTTACAACTGCTTTCTTAATTTCTGTTTTTAATATAGTGTTCTTTTTCTTTCATTTGCATCAAGTCCTGATTATGTTGCATGAATTATCTCCTTTGTCCCCAAGGCTCACCACAGAGTCTGGCATAAAATACATGATTGATACATAGTTGCTTATATTTGCCTTTACTGCTTTCTAGTTTATATTCTATGTGTTTTTAAAATTTCCACTCAACTCTGTAGGTATTAACATCGAGCTTCTTGTTTATTATTTTTAATTAGTGGCCTGGTATATGAAATTTGTGCACATTAAAAGGGAATTAATTAGAGGAAATATTTTAATATTGCTATTTGCCCTTTATAATAGAAGTGTCAGACATGAAAGAAAATTAGTAAAATGTATATGAAGCTCTCCCTCCTGTCAGTCTGGGGCGCACCACCAGACCTAGAGTCAAGTCCCCGCCCGCCACCCACACGTGCTTCAAAAACACAGGAGACCCACACCCGGCCAGCCCCACCCCCGTTGGGTGAGACCCAGACCTGGCCGACCCCACCCCCGTCAAGCCCCTCTGGGCAGGGGGTGCAGCCTTAGATCCCCCAGCCCAGTGCCAGTGGAGGGGGGCGGGGTGTGCAGCCTGAGATCCCCTGACCCAGTACTGGGGTGGGAGGCACGGCCTGAGGTCCCTCACCCTGGTCAGGGGCCATGCAGCCTCAGGTCCCTGCTGTTTGGTTGTGACGTTATGGCATCCTGGCTAATTTGCATATTCCTCTATTATATAGATAGAGTCTCACTCTCCCTCCTTATTTGAGCTTTACTATTTTTTTTATTTCAGAATCTGGAATCTCTTTTTTTAATCCACAGAACTTAAGTATGTTTAATAGCTTCTCATTTTTAAACTATACTGATGAAAACACTGCAAAATAAAATTAGAAATTTGCAGTACTCTCTTAGGATAATGATTGTATCCTTTTAATGTTGTTTAATTTATGTCTTTCAGTTGAAACAGCTTGGTCACAGTGTGGATAAAGTGGAGTTTATTGTGATGGGTGGAACATTTATGGCCCTTCCTGAAGAATACAGAGATTATTTTATACGCAACTTACATGATGCCTTGTCAGGACATACCTCGAACAATATTTCCGAGGCAGTCAAGTAAGAAATCATTATCTTGTCATATTCCCCAAAGTGGTTGTCAGTTTATCTTCCTAGCAGCAGCCTATGAGAATCCCTTTGGCTCTACATCTACATTCCTCTTCCTTTCTTTCCTTTTTTTTTTTTTTTTTTTTTGGTTGGGGGGGCGAGAAATGGGAGATTTCATGATTTTATTTGCTTTTGATGGATTGTAATGTTAAATACATTTTTCCCAGTTTTATTGAGATATATTGGCATATCACTGTATATGTTATGGTGTACAGCAAAATGATTTGACTTACATGGTTACCACAATAAGTTTAAGTTAACATATATCGTCTCACACATCCCTAGTTCTTATAGTTCTGTTTTGTGGGAATGGATTATTTCCATTTAAATAATTCCCTTTTTTTAAGTGAGTATGGTTTGTTGACATTAGTATTCTCAAGAGAAAGAGTGGTTCACAAGATCCCTCTGAAGCTCTTTTTAGCCGTAGGCTGGTCTAAACCACAGGCAGGAGTAGTTTTGATTGAGGAGTTGAGATTTTAGCCCGCCGCATAAGAGCCCTGGGTACTCTGAAACATTTAGCTGCTATAAAATCAACACAACAAGTGGCTAGTATTAAGTAACCATTATTTTCTTTATAAATAGCTACTTTTTAGTAATTATTAAATAATGTGTTTGAATTGATTGTTTATTTATTCCTAAGTCTAGCTGACAAAACAGAATTATGCATTCTTTTGATGCCTCATATCTCAATTTTTAGCAAGAAGAATTCTAAAGTTTCATATATAATTCAATGGTTTAAGAAGTGAAAGTATTTTTATTTTTATTTTTTTTACATATTTTTTTTTAATCCTCAGGGAAATTTTTTTCATTGATTTTTAGAAAGAATGGAAGGGAGAGGGAGAGACAGAAACACCGATGTGAGAGAGACACATAGATTGGTTGCCTCCCACATGGTCCTGACCAGAGTCAGGAGCCTGCAACTGAGGTGCGTGCCCTTGACTGGAATTGAACCCGGAACCCTTCAGTCCACAGGCTGACACTCTATCCACTGAGCCAAACTGGCTAGGGCAAGAAGTGAAAATCTTAAAATAATTTTTATTTTCAGAAGTTTCAGGAACACCTGGCTAGTCCCTCTTATTGATGGTATTTTTTTGTTTTGTTTGTTTAATATATTTTTATTGATTTCATAGAGGAAGGGAGAGAGAGATAGAAATATCAATGATGAGAGAGCATCACTGATTGGCTGCCTTCTGCATGCCCCCTACGGGGGATCAAGCCCACAACCTGGGTACATGCCCTTGTCCAGAATTGAACCCGGGACCCTTCAGTCCACAGGCCGACACTCTATCCACTGAGCCAAACCGGCTAGGGTGATGGAATGTTTATTGAGGGCACATAGATGCTATGCACTGTTAAGGCACTGGGAACAACGTGGTGAACAAGACAGATGCTGTCCTTGCCCTCGTGGTACTTAATATTACTAGTTCAACAAATAATCAACAGTAACTGCTATGATGGAAATAGACTATGGTGCTAGAGAATAAATAGAGTTACTCCCTAGACCAGGGGTCCTCAAACTATGGCCCGCGGGCCACATGCAAATACAAATATTGTATTTGTTCCCGTTTTGTTTGTTTACTTCAAAATAAGATATGTGCAGTGTGCATAGGGATTTGTTCATAGTTTTTTTTAAACTATAGTCTGGCCCTCCAACGGTCTGAGGGACAGTGAACTGGCCCCCTGTTTAAAAAGTTTGAGGACCCCTGGTTTAAAGACTAAGCACCTTTTCAAATGGCTCGCGAGCCACGGTTGGCCGAGCCGCAGTTTGCCGACCACTGCTCTAGGAGAACTAAAATTTTATTTGAAATGAGGTAGGAAGCTGATGAGTGGTTTTAAGCCAGGAGAGTGACATATTCAGGGTGATAAGTAAGATGGTCATTCTGACTGTAGTCTGGCTAATGGATTAGAGCAGTGATTTCCAACCTTTTTCATCTCATGGTGCACATAAGCTAATTACTGAAATTCTGGGCTTAACAAAAAATATATATTTTTGCCGATATAACAAAAAATTATTTATTCACAGTGGATGGTTATTGTTGTGTTGGCTGTTGTCATTTTTCATTTGCCAATCTAAGGAAAAAGAGGTCAGTGCCCTGACTAAATATTCAGGTATAGCATGTTTTAAAAATTCTCATGACACAATAGGAATTTGTTCATAGTTTTTTTTTTTTAAACTATAGTCCGGCCCTCCAACGGTCTGAGGGACAGTGAACTGGCCCCCTGTTTAAAAAGTTTGAGGACCCCTGCTCTAGACAAAGTGGTGATATTTAAGCTGAGATCTGAAGTGTGAGGAAGACTCAGGCCAAGAGCAGAAAAAAATAAAAGAAAGGCACTAAAATGGGGAAGAAGTTGGGCTGTTCTAGGAACAGAGAGGAGGCCAAAAGCTTCCAAATTTTGTACACTCTAGGGCCGTGGTCAGCAAAATGCGGCTCTCGAGCCACATGCGGCTCTTTGGCCCCTTGAGTGTGGCTCTTCCACAAAATACCACGTGCGGGCGCACACGTACAGTGCGATTAAAACTTCGTGACCCACGTGCAGAAGTCGGTATTTTGTGGAAGAGCCGGTATTTTGTGGAAAAGCCACGCGAGCCGCAGTTTGCCGACCACTGCTCTAGGAGAACTAAAATTTTATTTGAAATGAGGTAGGAAGCTGATGAGTGGTTTTAAGCCAGGAGAGTGACATATTCAGGGTGATAAGTAAGATGGTCATTCTGACTGTAGTCTGGCTAATGGATTAGAGCAGTGATTTCCAACCTTTTTCATCTCATGGCACACATAAACTGCTAAAATTCTGTGGCACACCAAAATATATGTTTTTGGCCATTCTGAAAATAAAAGGTCTAATTTTAAAATATATATATTTCATTGATTTTTTACAGAGAGGAAGGGAGAGAGAGAGTTAGAGACATCGATGAGAGAGAAACATCCATCAGCTGCCTCCCGCACACCCTCTACTGGGGATGTGCCCGCAACCAAGGTACATGCCCCTGACCGGAATCGAACCTGGGACCCTTCAGTCCGCAGGCCTACGCTGTATCCATCAAGCCAAACCGGCTAGGTCAAAGGTATAATTTTGATTCATTCACACCGGATGGCTATTTTGTGTTGGCTGCTATCATTTTTTTAATTTGATAATCCAAGGGAAAAGAGGTCAGTGCTCCGGACTGAATAGTCAGGTATTGCTTGTTTTAAAAATCCTTGCAGCACACATGTTGAAAATCTCTGGATTAGATGGGGTACAAAAGTCAAAGTAGGAAACCAGAGTGTTGTGTCCATCCTGGCTCAGGTGAGAGTGGTGATAGTAATGATGGAGAAGAGAGGATGGATTAGACCTGTATTTGTTGTTGCAACTGACCGGACTTTGGGTCGGGTTGGGAGTAAGAAAGAGGAAGGCGTCAAGGATGGCACTCAAGTTTGGGTTGTGGAATCAATGGGTAGTTTCCACCAACGTATACTGAGGTGGAAAAGACAGAGGGAAGAACAGGTTTATGAGAACATGTTTTGTTCTGTTTTTTTAGATAGGCTAAGTTTGAAATGCTTAGGATATATCCAGTTGGATGTCAGGTAGGCTATACAAAAGATGCCTGGGCTGACAGTGCAAATTTTGGGATTATCTGCTCATAATATTTAAGGAATTTGTGCTAGGAATGTCTTTTTGTGCCCTCCTACTTCCCCTACCCCCTTAATTTCTTTTACTCTCCTTTAGGTTTGTAAAAATGAAAGAAAGAAAAAAGAGAGGCTTTTCCATAAGTTGAAATAAATACCAATGATAGCTCGAGGGGCCTGTGTAAGAGCTCAGCACTGGGAGAGAGTGTGTGAGCACCCTACTTTGATCGCCTCAGATACAGTGACAGGTTAATTCTGTATCCATGAATTTAGACTTAACAGCTGGCCAGTGTCATCTCTTCTGCCTGCAGGGGACATAGAAGCAGGATGAGATGGTGACCATATTTTTATTGCTCATTCAAAACCTTGATCATACATGAATGAGTCATGCTTATTAGTCAAGTGCTGAAGTCTTTCAAACTTTAGAGGAGTAATGATGTCATCCAACGCATTCTTAATACTGAAAATCAAATGATAGCTTAGAATAAGATGTAATTTGAGGGAAAAGAATCTTAATTCATTCAAGGCCCTGTGACATTGGATAGGAACAGTACCTCAGAGGGTTAGTTACTAAAATTAACTCCCTAACAGGATAATCTATCAAGACTATTAAATTTTTCTACCCACGCTTATATATTACATACTTTATTTTTCAGTGCAGCTATTCTTGTGTTGCAGACCTTGCATATTAAGTGGAATTGAACTATAAGAATATATGGGCTTTGCCTTGCCCCCCAACCCCCACAAGCCCTATAAAAGCTTGCCACCGTGCTTTTCAGTCTACAGTTTGGGTCAACTGAATCATATGAGCTAGGCCTACTGAAGAACTATATAATGAATTTTTAGGATGCACCTGGTTTGACATTTTCATCCATTGAAGCTTTAAAAATTTCTCTTTATTCTTGGTGTAAAGGTTAGCTTTATTTTTGCAGAAATGTTCTGATGCCTAGTGGTATTTGTAAATTGTCTGTTATTGGGGTGAAAATGGAGTTTTATATTATTACAACTAGCTAGCTTCAGAGCACAATATGTTTGTAGAAAAAGCCCTTTGGAGAAGAAAGCTTCTCTCTGTAAATGTTCTAGGCAAAGATAGCATTGTTTTCTTTCTGTTCTTCAATTTACCTCAAGAGGGCAACAGACACCACTTTCAGATTAAAATTTATATGTAATTTGAGTCATCATTGCAACAAATCTCATGAATGGCTCTTGGGAAGTAAGAAAGTACAATCTGGGAGCCGTAAAACCCTGCCAAGCCATACTGGACGGGTTTTGCTCTTTTCTCCTAAGTCTCTGTGCTTTTATGAGATAATCTAAAAAAACAAAACAGAACAAAAAAGCCGATTTGTG